AAGAAACCAGACTCCACCCAATTCAAAAGTTTGTAGATGAGCGAGGTTGAGTTTACATAGCTGTTGACTTTAGATGAGGTTGCTGGACAGCAGCCTCACTGGGCAGCAGTGTCATGAACCGTGCTCAAGGCGAAACACTCACCAGCAGCTGGGGCTTCCACATCAGCACTTGTTTGTTCCAAGTTCCTTGGCGGCAGGTGGGGTTAACATACTGTATGCAACACCAGCAGGTGAAACAATACCAAAGTCGCACTCAAGAAACGAGGCGCGTCTGATGGTCACCCTCTTTTTTTTGCCAGGGCGGTCGGGTCCCAACAGCATCATCGATCCTTCGCTTTGTCCTGCGTCAGGCAGAAACGGATGGTTCTGGTTGGGTGGAATGGGTTACTGTAAACGATGTGAAGCATCAGGTGCTGGTCAGTAGCAAAAGTTTCTTCAAAACTGCTGGACAGCAGTAAGAATTTGTTGAATACTGCTGGACAGCAGTAAGAATTTACCTAAACTGCTGGACAGCAGCAAGAGTTTGTTTCATACTGCTGGTCAGCAGTAAGAGTTTGTTTGATGCTGCTCGACAGCAGCACTTGTTTGATGCTTCTGGACAGCAGCAACCGTTGTGCAGACACTGCTGAACAGCCGGGCGGTCCTCATCTCGTTTCCTTTTTTTTTGCTTCATTTTTTCTGTCTCTTTTAGCGCCACCGCTGCCTCCTTCTTAGCAGCCATCTTCTTAGCGTGCTCTTCTTCTTTTGGTACTTTCTCCTTTGGTTCCTTTTTGTTCTCATGTTCTTGCCTTTTTTCTTCAGCCAGCTTAGCTTCTTCCTCCTGTCGCTGTCTCGCCTCCTCTTGTACTGTCATCTGCCTATTTTGCTCCTGCTGCTGCTGATGCTGAGCCATGGCTGCAGCAAAGTAGACCTGCTGCTGCAGCTGCGCGAAGTAGGCCCGTAGGGCGTGTTCGCGTTGCAGTTCCAGCAGTGTTTGTTGTATGTCGTCTCGCGTTGGCTGCTGCACGGATTCTGTTTCAGGCTGCGCTGGTCTTGTTTCAGGCGGCACTGGCGGTGGCTCTTGGCGCATTTGCGCCGGTGTTGGAGACGGCGGTGGTGGCGGCGGTGGCTCTTGGTACTGCTGCGGCGGCTGTGTCGCAGGCTGCGGTTGCTTTTGGTCCTGCTGCTCTTGCGCCTGCAAGGTTGCTGCTGGTTGCGGGCACTGTTCTGCTTCAAACTACTGCAGCACCAGTTCCATCATGACTGCTAGGCCAGTGGACAACTCATCCAACCTTTGGAAGACTGTGTGCCACCGCTGCTCATCATCCTGGCCCTTTCCGGTGCCACCCCTTCCCATGGCGGCTCTTTTTTGTGCGCGTGTAGTGTACTTTTAATTGGGTTCTGTGCTGCTTTGATGATGTTTGGCGCTGTCTTGCTCTGGATGCCACCTGCGTGTGTTTTCTTTGTCATGGCTTTTAAAGTTCTCGCGCCCTCATCCTTGAGACAAAACATGGAATGACACCTCAATCACTGCTGTCCAGCAGTGGTGCACGCATGGCCCAATGTTGTGGCCTGACTTACCTGAACAGCAACTGTGTTTTGGCAATTGAGGTGCCCTGCAGAAAGTCGAGCTGCAGAAAGCCAATGTGAGGTTCCTTGGCTGCGCAGGGCCGATGCCGGGTTGCTGTTCAGCAACACATGTGCCAGAGTTGCTGTGAAACGACTCCATGGTAGCTACTCAAAAGACTAGTAGGCTAATCAAAAAAACAGACTGCAACACATATATAACCACTCTTTGTTGTTGCAGTGTTTGGATTCAAGGGAAGAGCCCCCCGCACCAGCTACAGGGAAATCAAAGAAGACACAAAGACCGCAAGAGATGCAACATCACATCATAAATATCTAAATCTTCCCAACAAAGCGAGTCCAGCATGAAGGAACAACCTGATGGAATCTTCCCACTCAGACAACAATGAAACAACTTAGTGAGGGCAAAGCATTTCAAACTTTTGCTATTGACGCACATCCCATCAATTGAAGAACCAGGCCCATGGCTCGACCTCCTTCATACACGGTGCGCCAATGGGAGAGGATGCTCCGCAAGCTAGAGATCCTGGTCCTCTTCTCCAGGGTGATTGTGGACCTCTGCCTACAACGGCGACACCCAGGCGGAAGAGAGCAGGAAGGAGACAACTCATCTGCTGGACAGGCACGACGAAGAGACAGAGAAGAGAAGGAGAAGCAAGAGGAGGACAACAAAAACAGGCAGAAGGCCTTCTTGGAGCGAAGGATGAAGGAAGAAATGCAAAGGCTTGCAGACAGGCGTGCTGAAAGGGAAAAAAAGGCCCAGCAGCAGAGAGATGATGACCCAAAGAAGGACGAGGAGAGCAAAGAGAAGACAGAAAAAAGAAAGGCAGATGAAGATGAAGCGGAAGAGCGGAGGCCACGCTGCCGACTTAATTTGTGTGTTGACCAGGCTGCTAACTAACTAGAGTTGCTGTCCAGCAACATATTAGGGCTGCTGTCCAGCAGCAACTAACTACAGTTGCTGTCCAGCAACAAATCAGGGCTGCTGTCCAGCAGCAACTAACTAGACTTAGAGTTGCTGTCCAGCAACAACAGACTGATTTCCTGTGTCGGTTGCTGTCCAGCAACACTTGACGTCATTGTGAAACCTCATCGCCAGGAAAAAAGAATCGAAAAGAGAGGAAGAGACTTCGCGCACTGAGCAGTGAAAAGGGGCTCTGGGCAGTGACTGTGTGCGATTAAGAACCTTGATTGGTGAGCACTGACTCACTTACAACTGGGCTATGGCATTAACCTGGCATTGATGTTTGCCAACTCCATGGAGAGTCAGTGAGTAAGGCGTTCGTTTCAGATTTGCTTTGCGCTGCCTTGTCGTTTGCCAGCCAAGGCTCTGCGACAACATCATTCGCGAGGCCGCTGGCAAAGGCGTGGCTCCCTTCAGGGCTGTTCACTGCCTCTGCCGGTCAGGAGATGTTGAGTTGGGAACCCAAAACTGTTGACGTTCACTGGGTGGTTTTCTTATTGTCTAATGGTTCAGTTATGATATGACAGTCTCATGACATGAAAAACGACATGCACATCGAACAGCAGTCTCATGATAAAAAACGCATGTTGAATGGAAAAAACTACATTCCACACTGCTGCGCAGCAGTCTCATGGAAAACATGCATTCTGAACTGCTGTGCAGCAGTCTCATGAAAAAGCTACATTCCACACTGCTGCGCAGCAGTCTCATGGAAAACACTATATTCAGGCACTGCTGTACAGCAGAGCAACACTGCTGGACAGCAGTTTTTAGTGTCCTGAGTACAGCAGCACAACACTGCTGGACAGCAGTTTTTAGTGTCAGTGCAACACTGCTGGACAGCAGTTTTTAGTGTCCGGAAAACCTAGGTTTTCAAGCACAGCCCTTTGTTTTCGAGACATGAATGACCAATCGCATATGAATAGCAAAAAAGATCTTGAAAATACAGGAACAAAACCACCTTAAAACTTTTCGAGACATGAATGAATGACCAGTCGCCAACCGCACACAAATAACAAACAAGATGTTGAAATACAGAAGCATAACCACCTTCAGACAAACTATATTTGGGATCCAATTTCTCACTCAGCAACCACTTAACCGCCTTTCTTGCCCGCCATGATTGGTTTTCGATGCCAACAAAAAGATCTAGAGACGCCTCCAAAAACCTTGGGCAAACCGCGGTTTGTGAAGCACGTGGCTGAGGAGCAAGGACCAAAAGATCTAGAAGAGGAACGATCAAAAGTTGTTCTCACTAGATCAGGAACAGAAAGTGAGCTGTGGTTTACAGATTCAGATTTGAAAGAAGATGATGTGCTTCATGTGGAAGACTGCGCAAACTTGTCCACATGCAGTCGGTGTTTGTACTTGCGCAACCAAGAAGAGTGGGAAAAACATACTCGGATCAAATACCTCAACACCACATGGTTGGCACCAAAGATCACCGACGGTGTGTGGGGCCTGGGCTGTGTTATTTGCAGTGCTGCTGGGTTCACATCAGATTTCGCAAATTTCACAGTGCGCACCTATGTTCACAAAGGCAACCTAAAGCGGCGCAATGTGAGCGCGCAGCACCAGGAGGCATTGAATATGCTGGGCATGGACAACACCGAGACCAACAAGAAGTTGACTCCCACGATGGATGAGTTCAAACAGGTCCTTGATCACCGCCGTGGTGTCACCAGTTTGTCTCTTCCTTTGAAATCCATCGGCCGGAGATGGAAGCTGCAGAAGATGCAGTGGTGCCTTGCAGAAGGTGCCAGGGAAATGATGAGGGACTTCTTGTGGGAGGCTGGCAGTGTTGCTCTCAGCCAAGATGCTCGCGGTAACAAACTCCTGGCGCCTAAGCCGAATGTTGAATGCCCTTTTCAAGTTTCTAGAAGTTTTATGGCAAAACCATTATGGATTCAAAGCACTTCTTTATTATTGGGTGCACACACAACATTTGTTTCGATGCTGTGACCCAGGTGAGATGGTCTGCGTGTTCTGAGAAGACACTGGAGCACCACAAGGGACTACTGGGTTTCGATGATGTCCATGAGGGCCACTATGCCACGAACATTGTGGAGACCCTTGAATCCGTCATCACGCGCTTCTGCACAATAGGTTGTGGTGGGCCTGGGCCGGGAGTCCTGGATGACAATTTGAAGGCTCACATCATTGAGCATACGGAAGTCTTGTGTGCTGACGCTGCTTCCAATGAGTTTGCAGCTGGGCGACTGGCCCGCAAAGGCGCATTCCAGAATGTGTTGCACGTCTCAAAGGACAATGCGCACGCCAGTGTGAGGCATGGGAGATCAAATTTCATTGCGAACTTAACTTACATACCTTCTCAAATTTTTCTCTCCTAAAGTCAGTTCAGTTCAAATCGATTTGCGATTGTCTATGGTTGACCCTGGAACATAATAAACCAACACCTGCCAGGGTATTGAAGCGTCCATGGTTGGCAGATGAGGAGCTGAGCAGCATCATGGACAAATGCATTTTGTCTTCTTCTTCAATCACCCAGAGGATAGAGCATTCCAACACCTTTTCGGATGTCTTTGCCAAATTCTGCTCCAAGCAGGAATCTTCGGTAGATGGCTCCCGGATCAAGAACCTCAAGGGTCAGAAAAACAGATTTGCGTCCTTCTCCAAACCACTTGGGCGCTGCTGTTTGTTTTTGGACAGTGTGATTTCCACTGCCAATTGGATTGCAGTGCAGCGCAGAGGAGGTGAGGAAGCTCATGATGCCCTCAGTTTTTTAGATTTCCTCAACGAAGAGCGGTGCCTGATGCTGTCCTTGATGGCAGAAGCAGCTGATGAATGCGTCTCTCTCATCAGAGTCTTCGACACTGAAGCTTATGATGTGGCATCTATCCATTGGGAAATCAGTGCCTTTGTCAACCGCCTGAACTATTTGTTTTGTGAGGAAGGAGTGTGGGAGATTGGCTATGTCAAAGAAATGTTGCAGTATCTCCGCCGGCAGCGTGCCTTCATTGATTCGCATGGAAATCCAAAAACCCTTGGCGGCCCGAACGTCCTCATAGACAGAAAGTCATGCTTGAACAGATTGCAAATGTTTGTGAATTTGGCCTGCGAGACTTTGAGAAGTGAATTTCCTGATTACGATATCATTTGCAGCTTCTCTGTTTTTGACCTGCAAAGCAAGAAATCCAACACAGTTGAGACGAGCAAAAGACTTGAACGCCTCTCGCAAGTCTGTAGTGTGGATAAGGTGAAATTCAGAGATGAGTACTTTGACATCCGGCCAATGGCTCTGCATGAGTTCAGCAAAGGGTCTTCAGGGGTTGATGCCTGGCTTACGACGGTGCAGCGTCTAGAGACAAAGCAAGCCGCTGTCAGAAAAGTGCATCCAACATCTACAATCCGGCAGGTCTTGATCCGCTATTTGGGCCATATAAGGATTGTGTCTGATTTTTTCATGTTTCTTTGACTGTGAAAATGGACGGTTAGCAGATTTCATCTGGTGTTTGAAGAAAACATCTGAGGTTATGCAGCATGGAATGGCCTCACAACTTCTGGTGTTGAGCAATCTTTTTCGAAAGTGCAGCGGCATGTGACACCTCAACGAGATCATATGCTCTTGGAGACTGAGTGGGACGAAGCGGCTCTACAATTGAACCAGACCTTGTGCACTGATTTGCAGCTGACACAGAAGGCCAGGAAATTCTGGCTGCATGTTGTTTACGCTCTCACCCTTCAATCTTTGATGGTTTCCTCACATACAGTGAAATATGACACCAATCAGTGCTCATCCTGTTGCCAGGCTCAACAGGTATGGCTGCAATACTTCAACCCTCCCCGTGCCAGAGACACAGAGCGGATTGATGCAGGATGCCAGAAGGAAAGAAAGGCAAGCGCCAGCAATATGTCTAAGTTAGAAGGCTGATTGATTCCGATGAGTTCACAGTGGCAGAAATCAGAAAACAACAGTGGTTTGTCATGCACACTGCTAACTTGAAAAATAATTGAAAACCCTGTCCGTTTCAAAACAGACGAGTTTTTGCCCAACTTTTGTGTCAGGCCGGGGAAGCTGGCAACACTGAAGCTGCATGGAAGAGACGTAGGAAACAAAGCATAGATGAAGCCATGGAGGATGTACCGGAAAGCACATTGGATGAAATTCAGGGCAATGCCCGCATGCTCAGCTCCCACCTTTTGTCTGATTCCATCTTGGCCGAGCAATCCTTCCAGTGCGACAAGCAGCACAAGAACCGCCTGATTGCATATCTTGACAACTGCCTCCTGGAGTCAGAGGTGGATGGAGAATTCAAGGAGGTAGCTCAAGCGTTCAAAGACGCTCAGGACAAGACGGATAAGCTCAATGCTGCTGCGCGGCAGAGGAAGGCAGATCTTTTGAATCCCAAGAAGCTGCCAGACCCGATGTCCAAAAAGGTCTTTGTGGTAGACCCCCAGACCTTAGACGACATGACTGAGGGTTTGCTTCGTGGATGTTTGGTTGGAGATCCAGAACACGCAGATTTCATTGTGGAAACTGACCCGGCTTCCCCACAGGACACTTCACTGTGGAGTGCCTTCATGCTTGGCCTTTGCATTTGCAACATGTCTTACGTCCTCTCCCATGGACGTGAAGGTGTTGCTTTTTCGTACGCAACAACTGTGCAGTCCAAGAGAAGCATATTCATCAGCGCCGAGTTTCACCGAAAATGGACACATCTTGCAGAAGTCGTGCGGTTTGCTGTGGCCTCCATTGATAGCAAGTGGAAGGAGATCGCCACACTGCAGGAATTTGCAGAGCTATCTGTCACTGCCACCGAGAAAAAGAACCTTGAACCAAAAAAAATCCTTTCAAAGCTTGAAATGGTTCATCAATGCCATGCGGCATTTCTTTGACAAACCTTGCCTATTATTTTTTGCTAAACCATAACTGACCATGAATGTCACATGGCATGTCTTCAAGAGTCCTTTTTCATTCCAATTTGGTATGATGGCATTTGTTGAAGATAGACAATCCATTGGTTTCTGAGGAAAGACCTGTCTGTCATCGGATTGTTTTCGGATGAAGAGGCCCTGGCGATGAATGAGAAAAACATCTTTGGTAAGCAGGATTTCGTTTCATATTTTGTGAAGGTCGCATGCGTGTCTAGTGGCATGTGATCCGAGCAGGGGTTTGCAATAAGCCTAGCTTCTCAATTGGAGAGGCAAAAGCTTTGCGTATTTTTGGGGGTTAGGCATGGGAATGAACCCATGTCTTGTGAGAGGAGGACCGGCCAGCCTCCCAGTCCTCCACGTGCGGGGGCATCGCATCACCTGCGCAAGAAGGAAAAACGGCTCCAGCGAAATGCACAAGGACGCGAATCAAACATCCATGGACAATTTTTTTTGGTGTAGTAAGCCCAGTTGTGAGTGATGGGTGATGAGAGGAAACCTGTCTAGCAGCAGTGGTCCTGAACATGATTTTTTTTGTGTATATTTTCTATGTACGCCCTAGTTTTGCTGCTGTCCAGTAGCTTAGCAACAGCTACTTTTCATGTAAATCTGTGTATGTTGGCCACATAGCTCTTGCTTTCTGTTGCTGTCTAGCAGCGTGATTGGTGAAAAACTGTTGCTGTCTAGCAGCTTCCTGTTGCTGTCTAGCAGCAGTCTATGTTGGCCACATAGCTCTTGTTTTATGTTGCTGTCTAGCAGCGTGATTGGTGACAAACTGTTGCTGTCTAGCAGCTTTCTGTTGCTGTCTAGCAGCAGTGTATGTTGGCCACATAGCTCTTGTTTTT